TGCTTTCAAAGGACTCGTCAGAGTTGAAGTTGGTGCTAAAAATCCATCGCCACCCTACAACTTTCTTATCCCGAGGAAGGTCCACGACGTCTCACGTATGGTTACGCTGAAGGGCATTCATCTCCTTCATTACTGTTATTTTTCAGTCCCAAGTTTACTGGAGAAGGTTTCATGGGAGATAGGAAAGCAACATGACCTCTTTCGAGAATCGTGAATAGTGTAAAAAGGGAATAAGTTTATTAATTGCTTTTAATGCAACCTATCTTTACAACTTGTACATTGCAAGCTTTTTTAAATAAAAAATTCCTTTTATTTATAATAAAACACAAACTTTTCCTGAACACATTAAAAATTCTTGTTTTAATTGAGTGAGCTTGTGAGCCGACTACCCGAGTCATATTAATCTTGACTCAAGTTCGTTTAACTTAGGAGCTTGAGCTCGTGGCTCGATAAGTTTGGCTCATAAGCTCGTTAGTGAATCAAGTTCAAGCCGGCTCGACTCATTTGCACCCCTAGCTATGGCATCATCTCAATTAGTGAACCGTTGGTGTACCTCAGACGACATGCTCCCACCCATAATGAAAGAGTGAAAAAAAAAAGAGAACAAGATAACCTAGTTTTTACATCCAATTCAAACTAGCAAGGTGCTCCATGCATGACATAGAGATTATTTAAAATTGATAGCATGTTGAAATTGGATTTAAAAAAAGAAGAAGAAAACTTGATATCATAACATTTTAATGATCTTAAAGGCCTATAAATTATGATTATATATATGCATTCATAAATTTAACATTTCAGCAATTATAAACTTAATGTTCAAGCAGTTCATTCAATTGTTCACAAAACTTTCTTTTATGAAAGTGGAGCAATATTTCATCATTCCGTTGTAACATGTAAATTCGGTTGCTTAAACCAGGAAGAAATTTTGAATTTAATAATTTGTATAGATTTGAAGAACATAATTCTTATGAACTTGTATAGATTAATTTGGATGCCTTTAAGTATTATCATCTAGATAAGAACGGTTGTTATTGATTAGCTTTAAATTAGGGTGGCATCAAATTTTATGAACCAAGGCCTATCGTGAGTGAAAATCATGCCTGTTCTCGTGTGTTGCGTCTCAACAGGAAATAAGAAATCAAAATTTTTCTTTCTAGCTTCTGAGAACGTTACCTGAATTGCCAATCACTTTCTTTCTTCCTTGGTTTGAAATTTGCATCAATTAGGATTTCTACTTGAAATTTAGTTGCAAACTCTTTTATTCCTGAGGCATTTTTAATACGCCACTGAAACGTTGGCACAATTTTACTACTTACAATTAGACTTCTATATCTCTGCCCTTGTGGGAAGTGTCACCACACTTGCACACTATCTCCATCTTATTGCATGTTGCCACATGGACTCCTATCATTGCTACCTTAGATATGGCCTTTCCTCTGCGCTAGCAGCAGTGCAATGTACCCCTACACCTATAAAAGCCTTTTGTATTACTTGTAGAAAGGCAGACACAACTTTCACAAAGAGAAATATGCTATGAAAACCGAAGACTGAGAATGAGAGGCTAATTTCCTAGAAGATAAATGCCCGCTAAGTAGAATCCTCTCTTAATCCATTCAAGAAAGCGCCCAAGTAGATTTTTTACTGTCATTAAGGAAGTTTTCTGCTCTTGTAATTATAACATGTATTATGTATATTACAATTAGATGAATATTATAAAGTTCCATTTCCTTGCTATTGGAGAAATTGGTTTTGATGGCCAAACAATTATAAATCTTGCCTTTGATGTGCGTTGTGATTGTCTTTTCTCTCCTACATTGATGAATACATCTTTTCTTTTATAGTTAGTTATGTAGTTAGTTGATCCTTAACTGATTTCTTCATTCTCTTCAAAACCCAAATGGATGCCTTTCTCCCCCACCTATTCTCCGCCTCATTAGGCAGAAGGAAGAAAGTTTTGTTCACAGTTTGACGCTAGAGTAAGGGCAAGTTGCTTAGAATTAATGATGGCAATAGCTGCCTTCCCAGTTGCAAAAATCGGTGAGGTCTCACCTCTTATTAGGGGGTGAGAATAGGGATAACGGATAAGCTTCAATTGATGTAGTGAGATGAGTGTTGTGAAGTGGAATGCTTGATGCCTCAGTTGATTGATTTCCTTCAATTATGCCATGATGGTAAATGCTCTCATAAACCTCGGCTCCTCAGAATCTTTGTTGACACCTAAAATTTTGTCAACTTCATGTACTTGAAATGGGCCTAAGTCGTAAGAAACTTCAAAATGATGAAGGACTTTGGGTGTTATAGTAAGTGAATAGATGGAAGTTTGCTAGATGAATACCAAAATTATTTGCCTTCCTCATCATCATAGCCAAGTATTTCTAGCATTTCTTCTTTTTCTAGATTTGTTGTATGCATGAGTTGGATGTCAGAGTAGAAATTATTTTATTTTGGTGGTGAGTTTCTTGTTGAGTTGGTTGACTTAAATTAACGAGTTGATGATACCAGAAGATAAAACCCAAACTACGAAAATAACTTTTATTAATGAGGAAATAGGATTACAACACACACAAACCGAACATAACATCACTAAAACATGAAAAGACACAAACAAACACATCGAAGTATAGCCCAAGGGCGGTGGAGGTTGGCTAGGTGGATTGGGATGGCTAGCGGGGGTGGAGGCAACAATGATAGAGTGTTGGACGACAGATTTGGTTGCAGAACAACGAGCTACAGGGCTTGACAACCTGTTTGGAGGGGCTAGGCATCAAGTTCGGGGTTGGAGGCGGTTGGGGGAGGGTCAAAGTGGTGGAGTTGTTGTGGAAGAAGTAGGTCAGCAGGGAAATGAAAGTACAGTAAGATATATGCCTCAACGGGTTGAGATACAGCCAAAGCATCACTCGAACCCTTGGAGATGATCACTGCCCGGAATGAGGGACAACCGGAGCACTACCTCGACGTCATATTCAATCTTTGAAGGGAAAAATTCTAGAATAAAACCTGAATTCAGATATAAAAAACAAGTCATTGCATTTTTATAGAGAGACTAGACTTATTTTAAGTAATGAAAATACGGAAAGAGAATAAAATATAATCATGTTTTTAGATCTTATGAAAAGATTTAAAATAAGAAGGGAAAATAAAATATAATAATTATATCAGATTTTAGCAAGGGTTTAAAATATGATATGATTTAAAATAAGAAAGGATTTTAAAATAAGAAGAGAAAATAAAAATTAGATTTCAGTTTTAGGAAATGTTTTAAAATAGGGAAGTATTAGGAAGGAAAATAAGAAAGAAATAAAGGAAGGAGTAAGGAAAGAAGGAAAAAGGGAAAAAAGGGAAGAGGAAGGAGGAAAACCCTTTGGGGGAGTTTTGGTCTCATTTGTCGAAGCTTCTGGATCATCATGGTACGACGACAAGTTCTCTTGTAGTTCGATCATGTCAGTGTAGTCATTCCACAACACATTGTGGTAGAATATGTAGCCATCCTCTTTTGACACATCCTGAGCTGGAGTTGCAGATAGAGCGGAGTTGAGTAATAAGTATGTGAGAAGAACTCAATTCTGAGATTAAATTTGTGGCAAGCTGCGCCACTCTCAATGGCACCCCGTCAGAAAAGATCTCCCCATAGAAAGGACATGGATACAATTGCAGAATTTTTGTTCCCATCAAGCTCTTTGAGCCGACTACAAAGTTGGGATTCACCTATTTTGTTAGGACATCTGGTGATGGGTATCATGTTGGACTGAAAATAATCTCTAAATAATCGTCCTTAATATTTCTGACATGGCACAAAATGACTCCTCTTCGTGCATGTTGGACCTCCCCCCATAGTGATGACTCAGAAAGAGGTCTAATCATCTGAAAAAGTTGTATTTATTGTATCTTTGGTGTCTTCTCAAGCTCGTGATCCTTCTGGACCGCCAAGGTCAGTCCTGTTGTAGCTCCTCTCAACGTCTGTGAAACAATATCTAGAGGTACCACAATTTCATACTCTACTTGAACGCTCATTAGATCGAGGTCACTATCTTTCAGAACGACCACTGTTACCTCGGCCTGAATCTCTATCTCGGGATCCACTGTAATTGGCGGTTGCTCTTCCTCGCTGGCTGCAAGTAGAAAATCCTCCTGGAAGTCTTCAACTTCTCCTGTATCAATTGTGGTATTGCCTAATTTCTCAACAACACCATGCTCAGTGAAGCAGTTCTCTCCCCTGGTTGTGCATTCTGATTCCACATGCCCAAATCTGTGACACTTGTAACATTTTTTGGTTGTGACAGGCTTGTAGATTGGTTTCACTGGATAGTAAGCAGGTAGGGTCGCTTGGTGTTGCGGTCTCTCTATTTTGTAATCTAAGAGCTGTAACTTTTGGCGGTAGTAAGTTGTTGTGAACTGATGCTGTGTTTCCCGCTTCATCTTCACATTTTCTTGTTCTTTCCTTTGACCTTCTAGATCACGTTCAAGGTAACCTCCCGCTGGATTTTCTCTTCAATATTTTGAAGTCTTCGCTGAAGACGGTGGAGCTCTCACTGTATCTCGTCCCGAGTAGGCTAGAGCATATATCTCATTAGTGGAATGGCTAATGTTTAGGGTTGGGAGGTGAAAAGATGGTGCATGAGACTAATTGAAGGTATATAAAATTTGATTTGAGATTACTGATTTTGAAAATCAGCAAAGAGAATTTATGGATTGATTTGGAATCGGTGGTTCAGGGTAGAAAAGAAAATTTTCCTATGGGGGGTAAGACTGATGTTAGGAAACTTAAGGATAAGACTAGGGTTGAACTAGCTCTGATACTAAATGATACCGGAGGAAAAAAACTCAAACCATAAAAACAGTTTTTATTAATAGGGAGATAGGATTACAACACACACAAACTGAAAAAAACATCACTAAAACATAAAAAATGCACAAACAAACACATCGAATTGTAACCCAAGGGCTGTGGAGGTTGGCTAGGTGGATCGGGATGGCTAGTGAGGGTGTTGGCAGCAAAGATGGGGTGTTGGGCGGCAAATTTGGTTGCAGAACGGCGGCTTGCGGGGCTGCCCAGCCGGTTTGAAGGGGATGGACAACAGGTTTGGAGCTGGAAGGTGGGCTAGAGGCGGTTGGGGAAGGGTTGGAGTGGTGGAGCTGCTGTGGAAGAAGTAGGATAGCAGGGAAATGGAAGTATGGTAAGATGAATGCCTCGGCGGGGTTAAGATACAGCCGAAGCACCACTCGGATCCTTGAAGTCTATCACCACCTCGTACGAGGGACAGCCGGAGCACTACCTCGACGTCGAATAAACTCTTGAAGGGAAAAACTCTAGGATAAATCTTGAATTCTGATATAAAAAAATAAGACACTCAACTCTAAGCATATCATCTCATATTTAAAAAGTGACTAGATTTATTTTAGGTAATGAAAATAAAGAAGGAAAATAAAATACAATCATGTTTTTCAGATTTTAGAAAATGATTTAAAATAGGAAATGATTTAAAATAAGAAATGGTTTAAAGTAAGAAGGGAGAATAAAATATAATCATGATTTCAGATTTTAGGAAGGGTTTAAAATAGGAAAAAATTTAAAATAAGAAAGGATTTTTAAAATGAGAAGGGAGAATAAAAATCAGATTTCAGTTTTAGGACATGTTTTAAAATAAGGAAGTGTTAGGAAGGAAAATAAGAAAGAAAGGAAGGAAGAAAAAAGGAAAGGAGGGAAAAGGGGAAGGAGGAAAAAAGGAAATGTGGGAAGAGGAAGGACGAAAATCCCCGTGTCATGGTAGTGATAGAATGATTTTCTTGAACTATTTGGCTGTAGGCAACAAATGTCGTTATTTAGTAATTCCTTCAATTTACTATTTATTTCTTGAAATTAAACCATGTTGATAGTTTGACGCCGATGAGCTTTTCTCACCAAGTTCCTAGTAGGAGCTTTCCACATCTTTGTTTAGAGAAGATTAACATCTCCTGGTTTCCTTGTCATAAAATCCGAGTATAAGTGTCTATTGCCTTTTTTTCGTTAGTTGTATCGTTATTACATTCTCTCTAATCTTTGGTTCAATGATCGAATGCAGGTTCTCATGTATAGGTGAAAGTGCATCATGCTCAAGAGTTGGTTCTCATAATATCACTAGTCAAAGCTCAAGTAAATTTTTTTTATTTTCTCCCTTACTCAATTGATAACCTTCTCCTCCACCTTCATTTTTGCCTTCCCATAAAAGACGGTATAAATAGTTGTTCATATTTATAGCATAATCTGTAGGTAGCTAAACACTGGTTCAATTGAAAAATGTTAACTTGATAAGTGCCATCTCGAGGGTCTTTAATTGCATAGTTCAGCATAATGTAGACCATTTGTGACCAACCCTTGTGTAAGCATTCATAGGCCCTTCGACAAGCTTCATCAAAGCATCCGCCATGCCATAGGGAGTCTCAGCTCAACATGACATTATTTTTTGAATTATGGAGCACATTTTTCTTGCAAGACCATTATGATTAGGATGAAGATTGGAGCCATAGACAAAGCCTATGTTGGGAGAGTGGACCAATAAACCATTTTATTACGTTGTGTGACACAAGCGATGTAACATAGCAGTCATGCAACAAATTGTCACTGCTAATTACTTTGATAGCCTGAGAAAGTTTTTTGACATCACAATTGTTTCCCAACTCCTTTAGCAATAATCATGTCTAGAGGGAGGATACCCTCTTGAACTTGAGCCACTTCTATGAATTCCTAAAAGAACCCTCTTAAAAGATAGACTTTTACACTTTATTTATGTAAAATGTATCATTTATCAATTACAATAAAATAAGAACTATGATTGTTGGACAATTGCTTTTGTATAAGGTTGACATTTACTTGCTTTTTTTTAGATGATGTCTTGCACTAGCTTCACTGTAAACAACCGAAGTTAGTTCGGCATTCATCCTATATCACCAACTAACTACCATGGCATTTCCAAAGATTCATTTTGACATTTAATTTTTCCATTCCTTGGCTTACTAAGATTCATTCTGACAAGAAGGTTTACTCTGCTCACGTGTCACTGTAACACTCCTATATCTCATTTAAATCTGAATCCCAAGGTCTCCAAAGCGAATGGAAACTAAGTAGATTAGGTTTGGCTTATGTCAACAGAAGTCAATAGTCATCTATCCACTTGATCTCCCTTGCAAGATTGGTGGCATCTATTAGTCAGAGATTAGAGCTTGAACACAAATAGATGCTTTGCTTTTAATTTTGGAATATTATACGCGTCAAAAAATAGGGAGAAGATAACAAATTTGTTTCCTTATCCACCTCCTTACTAGATTGTTGACTTGTGGAAATGATTAGTCAAACTTTTCTTTTGAGCTTCCAAGAACTCTTCTCTATTGCCTAGTTCTACTTGAATCTTCAAGCTCTTCCCCTCTTTATTTGATGCAAGCCTATTCAAAATTTCTTTTCTACTTGATGTTTTTTCTTCTCGGTTTTGTTTTTTCCTAAGGCATATTTGCTTCATTTTATTTTCTGATGACTGGAAATTTAAGGATTTCATCTTTGGAAGCATTGCCTCCATGAGTACATGATCCCTAACCCACTATATATCCGCCATGCAAAGTCCTATCATCGCCTTTGACTCGACTTTTCTTGTGCGCTTTCCGTAGCATGAAAAAGGCAGAAGGCACAGTAGGCATAAAGAAAAATATATCTGAAAAGTTAAAGAACAGGAAGGAGAGTCTAATTTTATAGAAGATACATGTCTACAATCTATTTGGTAAATCTACGGAATCCTTTTTTCTTCCTTATAAAAATCTCCTTTATGTCTTATGTAACTGGATGAATAGCGTATAACTCCCTTTTCTATGGTGACAATAGCATTGTCTATTGAACCATTATAAATATCTCATTTATCTATGTATGCATTACTCATGATTTGTTGTGTAGCAAGTCAAATCTCAAGTAGTTTCTCTATTTTCTCCCAAACTCGAATAGTTTGAGGCATGTTTACCTTGCTGAGCAGGGAAGCAGAATTATTGTTCAAATACATTTTTTTGCCAAACGCACCCTATTTAAATTTTGGGATCTATTTTCATATTGGTTTTAGTAGTTTTCTTAAAACAGTAAGTCATTGCAATCTTGTCCGCAATATCTTTTCTACTTACTTTTTAAGCTATACATTCTCTCTCTCTCTCTATTGTTTGATGCATAAGACAGTGTAGGCCCAAATATAACTTCTCCAGTGAAGTATCTGTTCTTATCTTAGTACTTATTATCTGTTGGATATGGCTGCAAATGATCTTATCTCATGTTTATCGGACCTTATAGGCTCAAGGCATCTAGATTTTAGCTCAATTGTATCTCTAGGCTATCTTGATTCTTCATTTGATGTTAATTTGAGCTACACGTGGTTTGTTGATTTCTTTCTGTGAGCTTTTTCAAGCCAAGGAATTTTTTTTATTTTTATTTCAAATTGCCATGCCTACACTCCCTTATCCAGACATGCATGGATTGCTTATGATACAGATGCGCGGGCACATACATATATATGCAGGTTTATAAATACGAAATTTATTCATAATAAATTGCAATATCAATATAATTTTAAGCTATTTTGATTTGTTCTAGGACCACTAAATCAAGGTTTTTTTTCAGTTGGTTTGGCTAGGTATTGATTTCTTGATTACAAGCCCTGTTTGATATTGGCAAAAAATCTATGTGATTTCCTTGCCAACGTTGTCGGGTTTTTTGTTTGCTTCTCAGATCTGTATTGCTTTAGCCAACAAGGATTTGCATTTTTCCAGCATTCTTTACCTGGTAGTTTCTTGTAGAATTTTGCTATTGATCCTTCCTTGCCAGTTTCCAAAGTTTTTGGTGCAACAATTTTATTTAAATGGAGCTCTACATACTCTTTTCCGCTTCCAATCATATAAGCATATATACCTTCACCCACTTAATTTTTATTTAACTTTGCGGCAGCCAAAACTTGACTTTTAGCCGTCTATTTATACAGGATGATTTTTTGAATACTTTGTGTTTCTAGGTATTTGCTATAGCAGGATAATTTAGTTCTGTATTTCCCCGAGTCCAATTAAACGAATAACTCTCCCCTCTTCTCTTATTTAGGATTTGCCTTATATTTTTGACTTAGAGTGGTCAGTTAACTCCAGACTACAGGATTTAGTACAACAATTCAAGGAGGTGCGTAACCAACAGTCTGTCCTGCTACCAAATAAAGGACCACTCTGCCTCTCTCCCTCCCTCCCTGTGTGTGTGTGTGTGTGTGTGTGTGTTTATATATTCATTGATTTTTCTGGGTTGTGATATGCTTATTTACCGCTTATCTGCCATTTTAGCATTTGCAGAAATTGCAACTGTTCTGGTCTACTTTGGAGAAAATTGACAAGTCCCTTTATGTTGTTAGTCCAAAATTGCCATCTCTTGCTTCAACTTATCGCCAAATTGGCCTTGGTATCAGAATATAACATACATTTATACCTTTAGTTTTAGTATTCTTTTTTCTTGCACTGTTAGCTTATTTTACGATACTAATTTATATATGTTTAATGTTTATTTGTTTAGGAAACGACTGCTACCTGCTATTGCATATAGATCCTCGCAATCCAACATATTTACCTTGGTGCATCCACATTATTTCTACCTTGTTCTTGATTCTCTTTCGACCATAATTTCTCTTACATTATTATGTAGTCTATCTTATGTGGCTGTGCATTGTTCTCCAACATTTCTATAGGTATCGATTATTGGGTCCTGACTCTGCTACAGAAACAATTAGCAAAAAATGGAAAAGAAATGGCAGAAAATGGTATGGTAGAATGTTGATCTTGCTACTTAATGTTAAATTGTTTTCTGTTTGGATGTTATAAATAATAATGAGGGTACTAAAGGGCTGAGTTCATTTATGATGAGGTGCACTTGCCTTTATTTTCTCTCATGGAAAACTTTGTGCAGGCTGTTTTGATAAAGACAATCTGAGGTATTAAAAAGAAAATTTATAGAAACAAAACTAAAAAATCTATATATAATCTGATATAAAAAATGCATAATTCCTACCTTCCATATTTCTAGCTTTATATCTATTCCTATTCATGCTATGGCCAATTATTGCTTTAATTTTAGCTTACCTCCTTCTATTTCTAGGTGCCTTGAACCTCCTATAGATAATGTCCCTCTTCAACATTGTAAATCAGAAAATAAGATTACCATTCCCAATTATTTTTTAGCATGAACTTCCAAACAATACATGCGCTTATCAAGAGTCAGTGGCCATTAGAATTGAATGGAAAGCATTGCAATTACTAATTTGATTTAATGCATGTTTCATAATTCCTATCCTTTGGAGCCATCTTCCATTCACTAGGGGATGATAACCCTTGGAGGGTGTTGGTTGTCATTGTAACAGCTCAAACTCTCCATTCAGCTATTGTCTGCTTTGACCTAATGGCCTCACGATTTTATCTCATTGGTGTAATATCGGATAAAACGAGAGAAAAAGCCCAGGAAAAACTTGAATTATGGAGGTCTACGTTGGAGTCTAAAGGCCTTCATTTAAGTAGAACTAAAACTGAATACATGGAATGTAATTTTAGTAGTGGTAACTCTAGTGACATAAGTGACTTTGGGTGATCAAATTATTAAAAGGTGTGAACGATTTAGATACCTTGGGTCCGTTGTTCAAAGCGATGGTGTTATAGATGGGATGTTAATAGTAGAATTCAAGTTGGTTGGTTGAAGTGGAGGAATGCTTCGGGCCTTTTGTGTGATAGAAAAGTACCGCTTAAACTGAAAGGAAAATTTTATAAGACGGTGGTGAGACCTGCAATGCTCTATGGCGCTGAATGTTGGCCTTTAAAAGAGAAATATAATAATAAGTTAAGTGTTGCCGAGATGAGAATGATTAGGCGGATGAGTGGCTTTACACTTAGAGGCAAAATGCGAAATGAATATATTTGTGATAGGGTTGGTGTAGCTCCTGTGACGGACAAAATTAGAGAAAGTCGTCTTAGATGGTTTGGTCACATTAAACGTTGACCATCTGATGATCTGATTAGGAGAGCAGATGTTTTAGATTCGACTTGTGTTAAGAAAGGTAGAGGTAGACCCAGGAAGACTTGGGCTTATTGTATAAAACATGATCTTAATTTATTAGAACTAAATGAAAATATGACGCTAAACAGGATGCAATGGAGAAAAAGGATTCATGTAGCCGACCTCACGTAGTGGGATTAAGGCTTTGTTGTTGTTGTTGTTGTTGTTGTTGGTGTAAATTCTCAGGAGGTCACCCATCCTTGGAGTACTCCCATGTGATGACGCTTAACTTTGGAGTTTCTAATAAAACTACAACTGTTACACCAAAAGGTGTCTCAATGTTTAAGAGTTTGGTTTTATTCTACTTGAGGGGTTTCATAATCTCCTCACTTAAGTAATTGATGCCCTCATCAGTTTTTTGAACTCAAAATCATTCATCAGGCATAAGGATTCTAGAGGTGGCTCTATAGATTCAAGAGTTGGCTCCCACCACGTAGCACTTTGTCCCATCTTGATTTTAAGAAGTGGCTCACATGGCGTAACATTTTGTTCTGTATAACACTTAGTTTCTATCTTCAAGCTAATGTATTGCTTTGATATCATTTGTAACGGCTTGAACTCTCATTCGTCAAAATATTGTCCTTTTTGGCCTAATGGCCTCACGGCTTTGTCTTATTGGTGTGACTTCTCAGGTAGTCACCCCTCTTAGCAGCGCTCTCGTACAAGCACACTTAACTTTAGAGTTTTTGTTAGAACTCCAATAGTTACGCTAGAAGGCGCCTCGATATTTAAGATTCTAGCTTTATTCTACTTAAAGTTTTCATAGTCATTATCAGGTTTCTCGATCAAGGTTGAAATCCTCTTCACAAAGCTAGTCCAACTAGAAAATAATACAATATCCTGAATTCTGTGGAGTTTAACTTGGGCTTGGGTGCCATAAAAAAATGCATTTGGTGCTGCTGTTTGACTAACGTGTTTTCATTGTGCCTAAATTGTATATTTAATCAATTGCATCCAAAATTATGTTGTTGCTCAAAACTGATTCATTAACTTTGACATCTATGTTGACCAAATTTTGCTCAGGATTTCTTGACTAAAATTTTTTCGTCATATTGCATCTTCCACCAGCCATAGTTAAATTATTCATGATTGAACTCTCACCATGTACCTAAAATTCGGAACCAGGTAAAGTGCGTATGACAGCATCAGTGGCTAAACGCCATGTAAATCTTTTTAACCTTTTTTAATTATCACCCTACTCAAATAAATTGGAAGGTTACGCACTTATTTCAAGTGTTTTTACGTCTCTATTGATCTGTAGGTCAAATGAGAGATCTTTTATGGAAAATCTAGCTATTGTTTTGGAGAATAACTTACTTGGGCCTCCTAAAGAGTGCAAGAAAGGAGAGGAGCAAATTGATTGTGGGATCTGCTATGCTCACTATCTACCTCATGGTATCTATAACTCATTTAGTGAAATTCAAAGCACTCAACAGTATACCGTTTAGCTTTTTCTTTATGCTTGTGTGCTCATTTAGATGACGAACTTGGGGGTAATAGTGGAAATTCACCAGATTACAAATGTGATAATTGTTGCTGCAGTCGGGTTTTTCATACAGTTTGCTTGAGAGATTGGCTTCGTTCAATCACAACCACAAGACAGTATGTTAGCAGCTAGTTTATTATATATACACCTTTTTCCATTAATTTGAAATTCATTAACGGCTAATTGTTTAGTTTTCTTATAGGTCCTTTGATGTCTTATTTGGGAACTGCCCCTACTGCTCTGATCCGGTTGCTGTTAAAAGTAGTGGTTCTTAATTAGCTGCAAGTTTACATTTTCATTGTGTAAATCATTGTTTTCCTAACTCAATTTTAGCTTCTTTGCTTCCGTTGGATTCTATATTTCAGGTTTTTTTTTATTATTTTTATTTTTTTCACGTCAACGCTAGTTTTATATTGTTAAAGCAAGGTGAACTTTTCCTTTCGTTTATATTGCTCTTATTTTATCTGAAATTAGAAGTTCTGATGACTTTGTATGGGGGTATATTATAGGCTACGTTCTTTGTGGTTTATATTTCAGATGGATCTATTTGTCAGCAAAAGAGTCAATACTTTGACGCTAGTTCAAGCTGATTTTCAAGATGAGTTTAGATTTATCATTTCCATTCTTATCCATTTAATGAGATCACTCAGCATTTTGGTTCTGCTACAATTTTATTGTTATTTTTAAAATTTTTTGTGGTTGTGAGAAGATGTTTTTTTTATAATCATATTCGTTTAAGTATAGCAGCAGCTGACAACCCCAATTTTTTTAAATTGGAAAAATTATAATACTCTCAAGGATTAAAAAAAAAAATCTTTTTTTTTTTAAGGGAAAAAATGCTCGGATGTACATTGTCGTATGTTTTTCGCTATCCTTCTAGTGGATAAGACTGAGAAAGAGTTCAAAAAAAGCTTGAATTATGAAGATTATATTGGAGTTTAAAGACTTTTGTTTGAGTAGAACTAAAATTGAATACATGGAATGTAATTTTAGTAGTAGTAGTTCTAGCGCCAGAGTTGTAATTATGGGTGATCAAATTATTAAAAGGTGTGAATGTCTTAGATATCTTAGACCTATTGTTCAAACTGATGATGATATAGATGGGGATGTTATTAGTAGAATTCAAGTTGGTTGGTTGAAGTGGAGGAATGCATCGGGCCTATTGTGTGATAAAAAAGTACCATTTAGAGTGAAAGGAAAATTTTATAAGATGGTGGTGAGACTTGCAATGCATTCTCTATGGCACAGAATGTTGGCCTTTATAAGAGAAGCATAAAATAAAATTAAGTGTTCTCACCCTCTTTTCTATCACTGGATTTATAGCACTCAATCCTCTCTAATTTTATTAATCAATCTTCTAATGAATATATCTGTGATAGGGTTGGTGTAGTTCCAGTGGCAAACAAGATTAGAGAGAGTCATCTTAGATGGTTTAGTCACATTAAATGTCGATCATTTAATTATCTTGTTAGGAGAGTGGATGTCCTAGATTCGACTTATATTAAAAAAGACAGAGGTAGACCTAGAAAGACTTGGCATATTATATAAAAAAATAATCTTAATTTATTAGAATTAAATGAAAATATGACACTCAATAGGGTGCAATGGAGAAAAAGGATTCATTTAGCCGGTCCCACTTAGTGGGATAAAGGCTTGCTGTCGTTGTTGTACCGATATTTTTATAGCTGGCTTTACAATTAATCACCCCAATTTAAGCTTTTTGTCATCATATTATTCAGATTGCATTGTTGCATTGGCGTCTTTGATCCTTTGCCTTAACATTCAACTTCGAAGTGTTTTGTGACCATATTTTAAAGTATTGTAATTTATTGCTATATCTTGTCTCTTAACTGTGTTTGGAATGTGAATGATCACACGGTCCTGTGGTCGGGGACCGTTCCCCACCTGAGAGGTGTGCGGTTGATTCGCACTAGCCCCTAACAACTTCCATAGTGCCCTCAAGGCTTACCTTCCTCAAAAAAACAAAAAAGAAAAGAAAAAAAAAAGAAAAAATCGAATGATCTTCTATAAGATCTCTGTACGTCATAACGTTTAACCCAAAGAATCATATGAATGCTGTCAATGATTAATGTTTTCCTTGTCTCAACTGGAAATCTGATTTATTGAGTATTTCTCAAATTGTTGTCAAGCATGGAAGCTAGAAACTGCCTCACTATTTGGACGGTTGAGATCTTGCCAGCTGTGATCTTAGATTGAAGTCTTATAAATTAGATGATTGTACAGATATGATAGCCATTTGATGAGTACATATCTCCAGAGTTATTTTGATGATTGTACAGATAAAAAATTGATTTATGTCTACCAATAATTTTTTTTAGAGTTTGAGATTGATTTTTTTTCCCTCATATACTTTGTTTTAATGCTACACCATTATATTAAAAGGGTTTTATATATGATTGAAAGAATCTCTCTGCTTACAGGTGATGAAACATTTTCTTATATGATTGCAAGAAGTAGAAATAATAATTGTGGCAGGCTATGGTTGTTCTCACAAAGTGGGGCAATATCAATACTTTTAATTAAAATAGAAAAACTAACTTTAATGGAATAAATTATGTTGCAGTTAATTGGTATATGGTATTAGTGCCCTTTCTGTAGGCCGCAGGATATTGAAAAATAAGCCGTTGGTCCTAACTCCTAACCCAAAAATAAATCTACAAGCCCGGGTGGGTGGGGTGTTGGGCATTTACATGCATAACACATAATTCTTATGTATTTACATATCTCACATTTTAATTTTCATATTCACACACATCACTCAAATCTTTAATATCATATCAAAAATAAAGCACCAAAGTATTATATATGTAAATATGAAAGTTAGGTGTGAGATACATTAGAATTGTGTGCTACAATCATAATTCTTAAACAACTTTGTGCTGCCTCATTAATTCTGATGAAAATTATTATTAAGTTATTCAATTATTAAAAAAAAAAAAAACAAACCAAATATTTGTTGGCAGAAGATGAACATAAATAAAGAAAAGGTATACATGCAAGTAAAAAATAATTCAATCAAAAGTCTGTTTTGATAAATTCAATTTAATTCACAAAAAATGATTTTTTTTTTTTTTTTTTTTTTTTTGCTGAATAGCATTATCTTACAATAAAGAAAGATTTACATTCATACCACTCAATTTTTATGTAATGTAAATATCTAATCCCCAAAATTAAAATAGTGATTTTTGTGATGTCATATGAAAGATTTGGGTGGTATAAATATAAAAGTCAAATTTAGGTTTCAGATATGTAAATTCAGAGGAATTGTGTGGTTATAACAATGAATGACCTAAAAATAAGTAATAACCTTCTTCGTATGCTTATTTAGAGCTTGTAAAGGAGTTGTTTTTCTGAGCGTGCATATCGTTACAATGCGCTTAAAAAAAAAAAAATCAGTGAAAGCTATGTACTGTTGTTTAACAGTTACAAGCCTGAACGCAAGAATTGAATCTGCAATTGCCTACTCGTTGCTGCTGATGGTGGTTGCTGCCCTGATAACAACTCAGCTCTCTCGTCTGTTTTTCTTGCTTCCTTTGTCATGGCAGAAGAGAGCTAAGCTGTATTTTTCAGAGAGAAGGAAAGAGATGGCGTGTCGGAATTGAACTGCAATCGCTATTTCACAAGCGAAGCAGCCGCACCAACTAACATACAGAAGGCTTACACATCATAATGGCAGCAGAAGAATCTGAAAATGAGCCCTCACAGCGCAGATGTGATCCAACTTCTTCTTATGGTAACGATTCTCTCTTCTCTCCGTTTCTTTACATCTCTCAGAAACGCAAAATCCTTTTTTTTTAATAACTTCTTTTTAATTGTCGCTGATAGGATGTCACAGACACGTCTCTTCTTCCCTTCTCTGTTTTAGGCTCGTAAACCAATGCTGCTGCGTTTGTTCTGTCACCCCTGCTTTTACCTGTAAAAGATCTCTTTTTTATCGTAATCCATGCTCCTAACTTTCTCTGTTCTTTTCCCCCCCCCCCCCCCCCCTCTCTCTCTCTCTCTATCTTTTGTAATCCATAGCTTATGCATTCATTCAATAGTTTTATAGCACAACTTCCGGATGCCAATTTCATCTCTCTCTCTCCTACTCCTGACTGCATTTAACACTGCACACCAAACTTGCAGGAAGTATCAACCCTGAAGACCTCTCCGAAGTTTCGCAGCTCCGTTTATAACCCCCACCACTTCTACTCCTCCACATTTAATCACTCATTCAATCACTTGTCTGCAGAATGGTTCATTATTTCTTCTCACTTAAAGCTCAACGAAGCGTCCATTTCCTCCTCATCTTCTTTCTGTTCCTCACTCCATCCCTGCTCCTATCATTTACTCCAGGTATATAAATAAGTTCCCTCTTTTCATCTTCAGACCATATTAAATATAAGTTCCATTTAAAGCTCTCACTGGAATGCAGGTCGGCCATTACTCAAACTCTCTGAAATCACCCGAGTAAGTATTTAGCTGCTCTCCATGGACAAAAAGCCATCACCTTTCTCATCTCCATTGATTTTAATGATTCGTTTTTTTAATCTGAAGGAGGAGAAGGGAGGAGAAGAGATTATAGATGGTTCAATGATTGGATCTAGACCGCCTCTATGCGTTGGAATTTGCCGAGCATGTGGGCGATGTGAGGCAGTGCAGGTGCCTGCAGTTCCTCAGCAGAGGAATGGTGGTGGGAGGGTCTCTGCCGCCATTAACGTTATCAGAGGTGATTACAGCTCCAACTACAAACCTTTGAGCTGGAAGTGCAAGTGTGGAGACCTTATCGTTAATCCCTGATCAATGGAAAAGCTTTTGACTCTTTATTATGTGGATATATTGATTCATGTGGATGTGAAATTAAAAAAAAAAAAAAAGTGGCTCTTTTTGGGTTTTTGATCTTTGCTGATTCCTATCATATCTTCTGAAAGTTCGAACTGGGGGAGGCTTTTCATGCGGATTGTATTTTTGTTAAATGAAGCTCACTTTGAGATTTTGAATCCTGTTTTTATTAGTTCCTCTGTTTTAATAATTTCTTTTGTGATTTACTAAATTTGAATATGTAGAATTATCAAATCCAATGTTGTTCTTAATCATTCTTTTCGCCAAACAGAGCCTAAATTTTATTAAATTGTTCGTATTTATTATAATCATCATAGGTTTAAGGATTTCTCCTCTAATAAATCATAATTACTCTTCAAGTTCTAATTAAATCTGAATTTATTAAATTTACTAAATCCTCCTGCTTGCCGTTAAACAATATCGCATTTTTAGTAGCTTGTTGTTCATATAACATAAATAAAAATTGATTATGTGATTATAGTTTAAATAATAAATATAAATTGCTTGGAAAAATAGGATGATTGTAGGTACTGCGGTGACGAATAGTTAGGTACTGACTTTATAATAACAAAAAAATAAAAAGTAATTCCCAAAAAAATAAAAAATAAAAAATAAGGATATATATTAGACGCTGGTACACGCAAAGAAAAGAAGAGTTTCCATGACAGTGTAACGTCGCATCCAAATAAATCAAATTTGCGCTCAAAAATAGAATAGAAAGTAGATTTTGTTTTCATATTTAAAGTTAAACGGAATCATTATTACAACCGCTCTCCTGCTTCTGCTTCCTGCTGCTGCAGGATTAGACTTCACCTTTTCTCGAAGTATTTTGGCGCAGCAGCAGCAGCTCAATGACGATGAATTTTGGCTCCCCAATCAAGAAATAATTTTGGTATTTTTAATTAATTTAGCTCAGAAATTGATATATATATATATATATATATCAGCTATATATATCAGCTTAAATTTCAAACCAAGGTAATTAAATTGCTTTCTAGACTGGACATCCGAAATAAATAATTAGACGATCGTTTGGGTAGTTTTTTTTTTGTAGTGATGTGTTCTGAAATATTGGATGAGGTGCATGGAAATTGCGGTTGTCAATGTTGCTTAAAAATTTATGTTAAATGAGGGCTGTGGTTGGCTTTTTCTCAAACTTGCTGTTCGTGTGCCTCTCTCACCATTGCCCTCTCTCTTACGTTTCTTTTGCCCTATGTCATGCCTCTCTCGATCACTCTTCTCTCGCTCTTCTCTCCAGTGGTAACGAGTTGTCTTTCTCCTCTCTCTTTTCTTCGATCTCTAGTGGCAACGGATTACCTCTTTGCTCTCTCTCTTTCTTCTAATATTTGTCTCTCTTTTTGTTTACTGTGCTCTCCGTCCTCTCACAGTACCACTTTTTTCTTCGATGGAATGACTTTTTTTCATTTGAGGTTTAAAGTGAGCCTTTGGATTTTGCTATTTGTGGCATTCTCATATGTGTTTGAAGTGAGAATTTGGATTTTGCAAATTATGTTTTTCTCTTTATGACTTGGAATTTGGATTTTGTGATTTTCTCGCTAAATGTGATATGAATGAGGTTTTATTTTTACAGTTGATTTTTTATTGTGAATTTGCAAAATGGTTGAAAGGGGGTGCTTGATTTGTTGATAGTAGTGTTTCCAGTCTCTGCATGTTGTAGTCTCAAATGAAAAATAAGACATGGGGTTTTAACAATGCCTATGAGGTTTGAGTGAGAATTTGAGAAATGGCTGAGAGAGGGTGTTTGATTTGTTCATTAAAATGTTTCGGGTGCCTTATATGTAACTACAACAAATGATAAAATTGGGATGAGATTTTATCTTTACCTCTGATGTTTGAAAGAGAAGTTGAAAAATGGCTGAAAGTGAGTGCCTGATTTGTTGATAACAATCTTTTGGTTGTTCTGTATGGAATTGCATGAAGTGAAAACTATGGGGTGATGTTTTATCTTTTCCTTTGATGTTTAGCAGAGAATTGAACAAATGTTAAAAGAGGGTGTTTGATTTGTTGACATCAATATTGTGGATGTGGTGGTGTACATTGATTTGTGTGTAGATGTAGTGGTTGTGTTTTGTATTAAAGGATGTGTTGAGTTGTTGATTGGTGTGTGGTTTTGTTTGTGTTAGAGTGTGTGTTGGTTGATATGTGGAGGTGGTGGTTGGTTTTTTTTTTTTTTTTTTTTTTTTTATGTTAGAGGTTGTGTTGGTGGATTTGTGGAGGTGGTGGTAGGTGTGTGAATGTGTTGGTGTGTGAAAGTAGTGGTGGCGGAGGTTTTGTGGATGTGTTGGTGTGTGGAGTTGGTGGCAGTAGTGGTGTTGTGGATGTGTAGGTGGTGTAGTGTGGTGTGCAGGGGCATTGGGATGATATTGTGAAATTCATATTTTTCTTTGAATTGTGATATTGTGTTATTCCTATTTATGTTAATTAGTTTTTTTTCATGCTAGTAATATAACGATTAGGACAAAAGTAACTGGTTCATATGCAATATGGATAAAGTGAAAAAAATTAATATTTTACGACCATTACCTCGAGGTGGTTAAAGTGGGAAATATGTTGACAACCTATTTCAACATGAAAGGCTGACAAAAGATATTATTTTGAAATTCAAGAAAAGTATATGCAGAGAGTATAATAGGATGCAGTTAATAACAAGTGGGATCAACTAAAGAATGATTGAAGATTCTATAAGAAATTTAAGCAGAGATCAACAGGCTTGAGGTGAGATCCAGTAAAGCGAACAATTTATGCTTCTAATGAGCGGTGGGCAGAGAGACTAGCGACAAATATTTTTGAAATGTCCCATATTTTGTCAAATTTTAATTCATTTCCAAATCTAACAACATGTCATATGAATTAGTAGGTGGTGTCTGCTGCAAAAAAAAAAAAAAAAATACAATGGAATTAATCCTAAACTATAGGGGAAGTTGGATTGTATGTTTAGAGGTGTCGTGACAACGACAACAATGAATGTGCCCCTAGTGAGGCGAAGTTTGGTGGCATCCCCGAAATTTGGGAGTTGATCAAACAAATGATTCCAATGAAGACCCTAGCCCGAATCTTCATGAATTTGAGTTCACGAGCCGATCAAAACATCATCAGATTGGAAAGAAAAGGGCAGTTGTTTTCCTTAGAAGCTAGTTCTCACAGTTGGTGGTTTTATGCACCAATGATCTCCACCCATCACAAGCTACTTTTGTCTAGCAGGTTATGTAAATTTTAGAGGTAACTCCAAAAATTTACTAGCACATGACGTTGTATTTGTTCTCTATGAAGTTGTTAGAAGATTCGACCAGAGAGAGTTTTTCATGACGATGTCCGTTGACCGTGAGATGGTTTACCTATGTTATTTTCATGGGAGCAGTGGCAATAGATGAAAGCTATTTTGTTTATTAGATTCTTGTTGGATATTGCATATTTGTTATTGGTTTATTTATTTTAAACATGTTTATTTGATTTTGATTTGCTGGAGATATATCAATAGTCAGGAAATTTACATACCCAACACACAACTCTTTTGTATTTAATTCTCACATTTAAACTTTCATACTTACCTAATATTTTGGTGTTTTAAACTTATGCATAGAAAGTTATATTTCACTTCTAAAAGGTTATGATAGTGCTATATTTTTTTGACATGATTTTAAGTATTTGAGTGTTATGTGCGTAAATATGAAAGTCTATACATTGATTGTGTGATGTGCATGTAAATGCCTTGGGGAGATTTGCTGCATGCCCTGAATTCGTATGCATTCAAACATATATTAGTTGTTACATCTATTTATGTTACACATTTATCTCTAAACAGAATAAATAAAATTACTATCATCAACTTATTTAAAGTAAAATCTTTACATTAATTATTATTCTGCAAATGTGAAAACATTATATTCATAATTTTATGAGCTTATCTTTTAATAATATTAAATGATCCAATATAAATGTTCTAATAGCAACACTTCTATAGTCATATTATCTTTCGGGCCTTTTCTGCTCTTTTAACAAAATTTTAAGGGATAATTACATACAGACCACCCGAAAACATTGCTATTTACAAAGTAGCCACCTTTATTCTTTTTATTTTTATTTATTTATTTATTTATTTATTTTTTGAGCGTGCTACAATCAAACCGTCCAGAATTTAATAAAAAATGTGAATTTTGATACTTGAGTGAGAGCTGTAAAATTGATGAAAAAGAGTTGATGATTTTGTAAATAGCAAATTTCGGGTGATCTGTATGTAATTGGCCCAAAGTATTGTCTGTTAAATTTTCATGACCCAGCGAGTTGAAACAAAACTCGGTAAAAATAGTAACTCGGGTAGGATATTCGACTTCAAGTCCGAGTCGACTCCGAGTCGAAACATCTTCCGTTTTAAAGGTTCACAGCAGGCCGAGGGGAAGCCTGGTCAATCTCGCAGCAAGGCGGAGGGCAAGAGGAGGAAAACTCAACGCTTACGATGTCGATGATGAGATCCGGCTTGCGAGCCACCGGCGCTCTTTTTCGCCGGCGGATGAATGGCGCCGCCGGCAAACCCCTGGCATCGAACAAGAGGCGTTTCGCCTCATCCACCCATGATGATGAATGTATTATGTTAATTTTCCACAATTTTCTCTTTTTTAACGTCTCCTTGTCTCCATTTTGTTTTCTCTCCATTGATCTTTGGCTATAACTTTCGTCTCTACCATTTGCGTTCAGAATTAGGGTTTTGTCTTTTTTGCATCCGCAACTTGGGTTTCGATGAGTTGTTTTGTTTTGGACAGACGAGACGGCGAAGTGGGAGAAGATAACGTACCTTGGAATCACTGTCTGCACGATCCTGTCGATCTATCACCTCTCTAGTGGTCACGAACACCATCCTGAACCCCCGGTAATATTTCGATCCTCTGGGCTAAACATTTTGATCAGTCGTTGATGCCGCTGAGATGAACATTAGCTTCAATTGAAACTTTTTTTTTTTTATTCTGCAGGCGTACCCCTATCTGCACATTCGTAACAAGGAGTTCCCCTGGGGTAAAAAATTCCGCAGTACTTTAACTTTGAGAAATTTTGAATTCTCTTATTTCATCGGTTTTTATGGGCTGCTTAACGCATATTTTTTCGTAGAATACCCGCATTTAGTTGTTAGTCACCCTTGATGTTAAAACCACCCGCATCCAAGGGATTAGATCTTCTGGCTAATACATTTGATGTACATAAGAATAGTCTATCTTACATGCAAAAATTTCTAGTTAATTTTCTCCTTGATTTCGGGATCTATTGTTTCTAAATTATAACTCCTCATGTTCATGATGAACTAAGGATTGGATCTACATGGTTGCTGATAATGTTGGAGTAGTCTAATATATAATTTTGTTGTATTACATTGCGTTGACCATTTTATTCCATTTAATCTTTTTGTATTTGATCACTAGGTTGATTTCTAGATGGCATTCATTTTGTTTTGGTTGTGCAAGTAATCTAGGGGTACCTGATCAATGTGTATAGTAATCTTTGTCATTTGCAGTTATGCCTTTAGTGCTAAATTGCTTGATTCGAAGCCGGTAGTACTTTATCGTAATTTAGATAATTTTTTTGAGCTTTAGAACATACAAACTTTCATTTTTGAATGAGTATGACTAGAATAATATAGGTGTATGCATTAATCTTTAACTCAAGTTTCATGCAAGTTAGGAAATGTTGTTACAACTTTAATATAGTGCTTGAGCCTTTAAGATCTCAATTAAGAAAAAAAGTTAAACATCAAACTTATGTCATTATTTTCAACATATTAATGTTGAGAGTTGAGAGAATATCCAACAAAATGCAAATGGCGATGGATCTGAAGCTCCCGTTTCTTAGCTATGATATCCTAAATCTTCATCTAGCTTGCCTCTTCTCTTGTTAAGTTATGGGTTATTAATTCCTTGACCTCCTTTGTTGCATTATAAATAAATTTCATAGCTCGCTTTTTCTTTGCAGATCTTGTGGTTATTATTGCATATGTGATATTAGATCAAAATATTTCATTTAAAATATTTTTTTCTGAATTCTTTCCCCTTGGTTTCTTGTCCCATGCATGACTACGTCATTAAGTGATAGTGAACGTTGTCTCTAGTGGTTGCCTAGTTTCCAACTTGTTATTTATAGTCAAAAAGGCCGTAGTAAATATTGTTTTAACAGGACATATGAGCTCTTTCTTAGAAAACTTTGTCATCTAATTCCTAGGATTAGTTGTAAATGAATTCATTATTATTATTATTATTGTTTTCTTTGGCCAGACCATTTTTATAATGTTTTTTATTCATCAGTCTCCTTTAAAATCATGTCTGTGCATTGTGTATCATAAGCTGTCCAATATAGATGTTTTTTCTTATTCATTTGCTTTATTTTAGTTGTCCTATAACGATTAGCATTATCTATCATAACCTGGACTACCAAATGTTTTTCAATCTCTTCTATCACTTTTTCAACCAGTTCAAAAATATATTTATGCATGCACATAATCAAATGCTTTTGTAGATTTGAGAAAGACAATGTCATATGTATTATTCATCAGAATATTAATCATTTTTTTTTATTTCTTTTTTCGGGCCACTCATCAGACATAATTGTTACTCTAGTTCAATTTTAAATATTTCTAATCTTTTATATAATTTTTTTTTGCATTACTCAACTCTTCCTTCATCACCAATGTTCTCAAATTATACATAAATGAGGGTTTCAAGTATCAACCATGAACACTTATGCAATGGATCATATTAAAATAAGGACGGAGGGTTCTCACGTTGAATGAAATGATATTCTCCTAAAAAAAAAAAAAAATAAACCTCTTGGAGACATCTTCTGAGCTACACCTTCCCCTCTTCATAACGCTTATGATCTTCCATATTTATCATATAATGATCTTGGGGGCCTCTTGTACATCTACTAGATAATTTTTTGCAAAGATGATGGGGCAGTTCACGGTACATCATTTTTATGCAAGCCGAAATCAATTTTTTTTCATCATTAAAACATCTAATTTAACTATCTTCCCGCAATAATTACATTTCAAATTAACATGTCTTATCGTTGCTACACTTGCCTTAAAGAGCATTAGTTTTTCTTATGTTGCACAAGGGTAACACCATTGTTGGTTTGCATCACATAACTATTCAATAGAGCATGGCGCATCATGCAAACAACATAAATAGTCTTGCTATTTGACTTAAATAGAAACCTAGATGGATGATTAGAATGGAGGCGTCGATCATAGACAACTCGTACAAACAATTTGGCAAGGAAGAGGTAGCTTGAGAAAGCATACTGATGGTTCCGTCCGCATCACTTATTAGAGTCGAATCATAAATGATTAAATGAGTATTAGTTTCACTAAAACAACCTTTTATAATATGTAGTTTTGTAATCAATTGTTTTGTCATAAAGAGAAGTTGATGGGGAAGATGCTTAGATAGATTGAGCTTCTTAGGTGGTCCTACACAAAGAATGGGGCAAATAATTGTCAACACTCAATCACTCAAAGCACCTATATATATATATATATATATATATATATATATATACAATAACATATAAACTTAAATCATTAAATCTATTGGAATATGTAATACAATACTTCTCATTATTAATTTTATGTTTATGGAATATACAAGAGAACTTATTGTCACTTTTGTTAGCATGTTTGGGGAGTATTGTATATGTCAAAGTGATTTTGATGCCCAAGCATGGCACAAGGTTGAGAATGAATTTGAGAAAAGTAAGCATAAAAATAGCATTGTGCTATGAATTTGGAAGATCACTTGATAGGTAGCTTGTTATTTGCTTGGATTGAAATCAACGATCTAACCAAAAGGCTAAGCCTTGGATCAAATTGAGCTAGATAAATATTAGATCAAGAAGTATATTGCGCACACGCATATGCTGGCCGAGGAAGTTTTCTTAGAAGATCAATTCATGTATGGCTCAAATCAAAATTGGTCTGAATTAGCTCTAGATTATATTAAATAATGTTCATATGAACTTGAGTTAGGATAGGATCAAATAAAGATTAAGAGTCTGTTTGGGGCAGCTTCTGCTTATCCGGCTTATGCTGATAAACAGCTTATCCTGATAATCAGCTAATGAGCAGCTGATCCAGATAAACTGACTGGCTATTTGGTTTGTGCGTTTGGAAAACAACCGATTCTGGATAAATGACTATTCTGCCCTTGTTTTGGATAAGCTGTTTAGCTGTTCAGTTTGTGCGTTTTGTAAACAATTTATTTGCAGACTTTTTTAGTTAAATGAACAATCTGTCACACATAATTTATAATTTTCTCAACAAAATTAAAGTTCAAATGTTAAGACATGAAAATATAAAAGAGTTGAATTACATTTATATAACTCAAATATTTTTTTATCACATTATAACTCAAATATTTTCTATCACATCAAAGAATGTTATAATATAGCAAAGCTAATATAAGCATGTATTGGCCAACCTAATATAAAACATACCTAAAGTTTAACACTTTATTTTAGAGATTAGATTTTGCAAATATATCAAGAGTTAAGTTATATGCATATATATTTGATAAAATGAGATGCTATGTATATAAACACATAAGTATTATATAATCTGTGGAGTTTTCATAGGCATTTGATTGGTATATATGTAACCCTCTAAAATCTATTATCACATATGTAAATTCATAAAAGATTTTTGGTATATATATGTCAATTTTGAAACAATGTCTACTCATTAAATATTTTACAATCACTCCATTTTAAATAAATCTCGTGTAGAAAGAGGGAAAGAGAGGGCAAGTGGGAGATGTACTGTGATGAACAACTAGAGAGAGAGGTAGGTTGAGCTCTTTTATTTTGGGAAGAGAGAATAGCCAAGGTCATATCATATAAGAAGAGAAATATGTTGAGAGTGATTTATCCTCGATTAACTAGAATTCACGTGAATAGAGTATACTGGGGCAAGCTATAATGAGTAAGAAATTTGTTTTGGATCATTTTGATTCATAGAGATAAACTAAACAAATTAATTGAAAAGCAACCATCATTCAATTAAAATTTCTCAAGAAGCAGATGATTATTGGAGATGCAATTGCTTAAGAAAAATTAAAGTTTCTTGAACCAATTGTGCATTGATAAAAGCATGTCAATGTGAATGGAGGCCATCTGCATGTTGCCTGTGGAGAGCCAAACCCAGGGGAATTAAAAAACATGTCCTAGATATAAGCATCAATTAATTTCAGATCTTATGTTGTGGTTAGCAAAATTCGTAGAGCAAAAAATTAATAATAATAATAATAATAATGGGGGCATTTACATAGATACCATTCAATTTTTATAGATTTACATATCTACCCCCCTAAATCTTGTTTTTTACATTTATACCACCCATATCTTTTAATATTTTTTATATGTAAATAAATTAAATATGTAAATACATAGAAACCGAATCAGTGGTAGGTCTGTAAATCTTCCAAAATATAAATAAAATTTTAGACCAAATTAAGAATAAAATCATAGGAATTACACAGAAAATATCACCACATACTGATCATAAGCGAATGTTTAGTTAGGTTTCAAGGTTCATGCAGCTGTAAGCTTTGATTTCAGGGTTCAGCAATAAATTTTTCCAATCTTAACAAGTCTGGAACTTATCCCCTCATCTACGCTGCGTCTGCAAGCTCTAATTCAAGCTTTAATGATGCAGAAGCAAGGTAATTAGCTCTGAGTTTCTGATTCACCATTGTAAATTAAAGTTTTGTGAACCAGAAATGTTGAATGGGAAATGCGAAGAAGACATGCGAAGAAGAAATGTCGAACGAGGAAGTCGAAGAAGAAATGCAAGGAAGAAATGCCGAATGGAAGCGAACCCGCTGAGATGTCCCATATGGATCTTGCTCCACACTCACCGTGAAGGTAGGCAAGGGCTTCGATGAGCCGGAAAAGGTCTCTGTATCCCGCCATTCCATCGTGCCTTCCTAAACGATTGAGAGATGAGGATCTCGCTAGGGCAGAAGAGAAGAGGTCAGGAGAACTAGGATCGCACAGGGGTAAATGGTAATAATCAGCGAACGAATGCGGACCGCGGTTCACAAAATGAAAACGGAGTTTCGTGAACCGTGGTGAAAAAGTTCCAATCAAACGGGATGGCGGCGTTTTTAAAACACCACCGTAGACAATAAGCTGCCCCAAACAGGCCCTAAATCTTAGCAATCTTAAATACAATCTTTGTGCCACACCCTCTTAGTTTGGGAGAATACTTGCGAGACCTAAATCAATGATACTACTTGGGTCTCAATTCATATAGATTATGACAATATCAGATAATGCAATTGGAAGCAAGCAACTGGATCAAGCAGTTGAGAGCTTGCTTCAATTACTTCTCGATTGCTTCTCTAACCGTCTGCTGCCAAAAAGAGTCCTTGAGATACTATAGCCATGTGGAAAAGGACCAGTTGATTTTAAGAGAATTAGGATGATGATAAACATGTCTTGTATTTTTTAACAGTAAGCATTTAAACCGTGGCATAGTTTAGAGTAATTCAGTTTCTTGCATTATACGTTGGTTCCTTGTGAATGTGTTCAATATGCAAAAATCATTGAATACACGATTGTTATATTAAATGTAATGTGATATATTATGTATATTTTTTAATATATTTGTATGCATGTTTTGGTGCAAGTTGTATGTTTGTAAATGAAAGAAAAGGAATAGGAGCTTGGAATATGGCTGGTTGAAAAGTATATCACGAAAAACTTGTAACGGACGATTAGGTTTGCAACCATTTTGTTATCAATGTCTTATAGATTAGTGATGACATTCATCAGGTCTTCAACTATCGACAAATTAGCGACAAAATTGCAACAAAATTATTAGAAACTTCAACCAAGTGATGAATAGCAACAATTAAATGACAAAATTTTACTCTATTCTTTGTTATTATGCTGGCACATTTTGTTTTAATTTGAATATTTGATTAGATTCCAACTGCAAATTGTTACGGCCTTCCTAAAATTTTAACGAAATTACTTTAGATTCGATCTTAGGCTATGTAGGAATAAGAAGCACTCTCTTAAACACATTCGTCTGTCCGAAAATAGTTGTTTTCACTTTATGCAAGAATTAAATCACTTGAGGTTGTGATGGAAGTATATGTTGCAATACGCAAAATTCACAAAGAACAATCTTTAGAAATTTTGCAATGGATGATACCTTTGTCTTGAAAAAAGAATTTGCAATAAAGTTTTTTTAATGTCAAAATTGCAACAATTTTCCCATCACAAATTAACCTTTGCGATGAAATTTGGGGCGTTTGTGAAACCTGAATTGCCAGGAACCCAAAAATTTTATCAAAAACAATAATTTACAAGTATTACAAGAACCTATGAAGATAGAAACCAAATAAAAGAAGAGCAAAAAACAAAAGATAATAAAGCAAGCCAAGTGTTGTGAGAAAAGCAACTACTTAAATGGACGGAAGCTATCAGAACCCAACTGAAAACCCAGAAGAAGATTACGCATTAGACCTATAGGTACCAGTGCTGGCCTTCTATAAAAACCCATCATGGAAGGGTCCAATAATTCTCATCATAGCCTGTGCAATAAATATTATGCTGTAGAAGCCAAGCACGGGAGAGAATTTGAAATGTTTCCGGCCAGCGAAAAGGCCACACAGCACTGGCAAGAAAATTTTGAATTTGGGAAAAGTAATAATATCCTACTTCCAAACCCATCCACATAAGAATACAAGATACGAGTGACCACTGCGGCAGCAGATGATTTCAAGAGATGCATCAAATGCGTGATAATAATTAGAATCCAGCTGAAGATTGAGAACAAGAAATGGGGTTCTCTCGGTTGTCATATATTTGTTACACTAAGCATACCAATCTGACAGACGACAAATTAGGGAAATGTCTTCCATTTGTGCAAAATTCTGATCACAGCCTTTGCAAAGTATACATTGGTGTAAAGCCAACTAGATGAGAGCTCTGAGATACTGCTGTCAAGTGACAAAATCCCCCTAGAATGTCTAACAAGAAAACTTCTCTGTGCTATAATTTCCCATGGAAAAAAAAGGCAATTCTCTCCAATGTATAGTTCACTTTTAATGACGTAGTCATGGTGTTATTTTTGAAGTGATGTTGAGGATTGGAGTGGCTTGCATGTAAATATGATTTGCTTAGGTGTTAGATATGTGAATACATAAGAATTGTGTGGTATATTATGTAAATGCCCCTTTTTAAAAGAACAAAAAACCAGAACCATACTTGCTTGAACCTAGCTACTTATTTTTGAATGATATCATTTGTTGTTCCTATCACGTGTTTTCACCTTGCTATTGTGACTCAATAAACTTAACACATTTATTGATCTGTGTATGATTTGTAGGTCCTGATGGGTTATTCGAGAGGAAGCACCATGATCATTAATGAATATGCAAGAGTTGGTATTATTTATGTATTTTCCAGCATGAGCTACAAACTCTCTTGGATCAACCTTTTTCTGAGTACTGTAACATGGTCAAAATAATGTTATTGAATCTAAAATATTTGTCCAGCTGACGTTATATACGTGCTGCTTCTGCTGCTTTGTGCGCTAACTAAAAGTCTTAAATGGATTCTGCATTGATCTATTAGAACCTGTTGTTGCAACAACTGTGGGTACCTTTGGAGTTATTATTATTATTATTTTTATTAATCAGAAATTTACATCCATATCACACAATTCTTATATAACCCAAAAGTTGATATTTACATTTGTAACATTTTGTTATCATAAATTTATATATAAATGTTTTTAAATTTTGAAAAAGATTTGAGTGCTATGACATGTAAATTCAAAAATTGTGCGGTATGTGCATGTAAAGCCCCCTTTTTACCTGCTGTTTTGTTTCTATTTAGAGATTTATCCAATAAATGAAATTCTTAAATGAAATAAAAATAAAGAAAGGTTTCGCGGGCAGATATTAACTCTTTCCTCCTTCATTTGTAGGGTCAATTCATGACCATTCAGAAGAAATTCATTTTTTTCTTGGTTCATTTCGCCATCCTACCCAATGAATCCTTAGGATTGATTCGTTTTCAAGAAAATCCTATGTAATCACAGGTTCCATCGTTCCCATAACTTCTCTATTAATACTTGGGCCTGAACTCTGCAATGGAGCTCTCAACAGAATCTGTTATTTGTTTCTGAGTTAATCTCCTCAGTTTTTCTTAAGATATTGGGGTTATTTTTTAGTCATATTTGCAAGAAAGTTATTGACATTTTAAAAAGACAAAAGATTATAATATTCATATTGGTTTTGAAAATTTTATTTGACCTGCAATAATTTAACAATTATTTTTGCAATCACATGCAAGTTGCTACAGCTAAATGGGATAATAAGATTATTATTATTATTAAAGCAAATGTGGCATTATCATGATTATACAATTTTTCAATACCCAACACACCTTTAATTAAAACCACAAATAAAATATATTAATAGAATTCGAAATGCAACTTATTTTAGTCCTTGTAAATATTTTCATTTTTGTATCTATGCTTTCACTTTTCAAGTAATGTACTTGTAGGCAAAGCCCCGAGGGGCACTGAGATTGTGTTAAACATCATCGTAGCTATAAATACGGTGGCAATGCACCTGTATGTTTCGCCTCAAATAATTAAGAGGGACTGTACCACTCATTTTTTTTTTAATGTATTTTCATATATAATACTTAATTTTCAATTTGTTATTTATGCATGAAAAAAAGGTATATTTTAATTTTTAATTGTAAAAATAGTGGTATTTTTATGTGATATGAAAGATTTTGATACTATAATTGTTAAAAAAGTAAGATTTAATTGTTAGATGTATGAATACATAAGAGTTTGGTGCTATTTATGTTAATGTCCCTAAAGTTAATAAGAGTTCATGCTTGAGATATCAATATATTTTGGCAGAAGGCTCCAAATTCATTTTCACTAAGTGATCAATGTTATTTTGTGGCTTGTTGGGTAATGTGGAGACAAGGTCCACCACAATTTAATTAGTCTCCTAATTAAAAATTTCACCTACCGCTCATCTACCTTCCCACCCACGCTCTTCTACTGCTGACCTACTTTCACCTACCGCTATCTTGGTTTCTATAAATAGTTTCTTATGACTTGCCATAAGAGAGTCAAGCCAAAAGCAAAAGCCAAGCCAAGCAAGACCAGGTTAAGTCCTCTTGAGAGCTAAGAGAATGAGAGGAAGAGAGAGAGAAAAGAAGAGAAGAAAATAAAGATTATTCTTGTAAACGTCGAGACGCTCGACGGTTTAATTCCTCGAAGAAAAAATATCCTCTGCAGCTATGTGGACGTAGGCAAATTTGTCAAACCACGTAAATTTATGTGTCGCTCTGATGTTTTTTATGCACGACTCTCATATTTTTTGCTTTATTGTCGTTGTTTTTCATAACATGGCTCTCATATTCCAAATTCAAATGTCTTTGAGGGATTGTTCTAATCATTTGATTCTCAATTGTTTTCCTCTTGATGCTAGTTCAATTCTCGAGCATCATCCCAAGATCCATCTTAGTTCCTCTTAACCTCAACTTTTTTTAGCACCAACATTTTTACTTTGGTTTTATATCGATAACATCTAAGATTTTCTCAAGACTTTCAAATACTCTTGATTGTCCTCATGTCATCAAATATGTTGTTCAATCCATGTAGGAAGTTCCAAGGTTTCCTAATGGGCATTGATAAAACTTCCTATAAAGCTTGCCTCTAGTGCAACCAATCCAACAATAATATGGGAACCATATGCAACAATCCATCATAAATATAATAGCTACCTAGCACCCAATTATATTTCATAAGGACTCTATTAATCTATCACTTCACGATTGATCTCCTCCCAACTAAAAATGTCTCCCACACTCTACATTATGCATGCAACTAACATGAACACTTACCTTGCTTGTGTAACAATGGACTAGGATTCTAAGCTCTCTATAATTTGGAATAACCACTAATGGGTTCAATTATTCAAATGAATAGATTTAGAGTATTTGTATGGTTTGTGACAATACTGACATATATTTCTCATATCTAATTCAAATATTAGATAGAGTTTCAATTATTTGGGTTACCAATTACCTATATGTGTGAGCCCCTATAGTTAATTATATCTCAAACGAATGAAATCACTTAAGAAAACTCTCGATTGAGGTTAGGGTTATGTCTTCAAGAATTCAAAGTTTATTTTCCACAATTGATTGTGAGAAAATCAATTGGGAAAGGCTTAATATGAAATAGTTATTTTTTGGAACTCAAAGGAATGAAATGTAGGAGATGTTGAAGATAACGATGAAACCTTAGTGACATCTAAACTATTTATGGTTTGGCTTTACATATTTGAGAGAGAAGTTATTTGTTGTTTAAATCCTACAATTTATTTAGAAATCATGTAAAACTCTAAAGTGTGAAAATTTAGGTCAGAACAAACAATCTCAGAATCTTAAAAGAGTGCAACTTTTGTTAATTAGCACCATTTGAGATAACGTTGAAGGTTTAGTTGAGATTCATCATTTGCTTCGTGTTTTGTCTTTTTTTGAATATCTAAAACATTGATAGTTGATTAATCATAACACCACCTAACTCTATAAAAAAAATGTTAAAAGAACAAAAAAAAACGCGCTTTGAAAGGCCTATCATACGTTCTTATTATTCACTTATAGTAATGTTACAAAACAGTTTTAGATTAGTGTTTATCATAACAGAAGTGATCACTGAAAACTACTCACACTCTTGCCCCCACCAAGAGACAAATTCACCGCCATCCTCTATTCAATAACACCCTATTTTGCAATATCCCTCTCCACAATGTCCGCACTACCTGCAGTGATGCAACGTCATTCTCAAGGTTGGCGTCAGTATCTATCGATACAAAATCAACTGTCAGGATTTACGTAGCTGCATCAAGAAAAAAGAATACAACCATTCAAGGTGCAATTTAGACCACCTATTCAATATCTAATTTAACACCCTCACCATACTTCTCTGGTTTTTCACCCACAAAAGAAAAGCCACCCTTCGGTTGATGAAATGATGTTTCCGCCCTGGTCATCGCCTCGCCCTAACCATCTCGAGGGAACGTTGCCCCCGCTACAGTCACGACGGGCTTTTCTTTCCCTCCGACGGAAAAGTCAATTTTTGATGGGTGCCTAGTAAAACGATCGTCTGAATGACCCATGGCTTATTTATAGCCGCCAGGACATTGAAATCTAGGAAAGTTCATTATTGAGCAATAATATCGATTAATTATTTTTTACATAGTGTTTATTTGCATATATCGAGAAAAAAATTCCCTTGTCCTTGTGTTGTACAACTTCCGATGAGCAAGAGAATCAGGGGACTAAATATGTATACGAAAAAATATGTAAGCATGAATCTCAAATTGAGAGGACGACTCAGAAGAAAGGGACGACTGATTTTATAACCAGTCGACTGCGCCTATCGACGACCGACGAATTGGATGCTAAGGAAGAGAACATTGGATCGACGATCAACAGATTGCATGCTAGCGCAGAGAACATTTGATCGATGTATAAGGAGATTTCCCCACAATACAACAATCGACTCTCTTCTTACTGACTGAATCAATCTGACAGTCTTATTATATTCAAATATCTTTGTAATCACTAAAAGACACCATATAAAGCTAATGTGAGGGGGCTGATCTGTAACCTTGTAAGATTGAGACCTACTCCTATAAATAGATGGTTCATATCATGAATAAGGGTTACACATACTCTACTATTCTCTACTATACTCTCTTTCCAGTGTGACGTTCTATACCTTGGACGTGTTTCCCATACACTTTTGGTTTCAACAGCCAAATCATACAATCATGGGATTAACTTGTCCAAATTTTTAGTATAAATATGTCAATATCCAGCACTTAAGCCCCTCAAGTTTTTCCATTGTCATTGAGCCAATAAAATCTTCACAGATTCTTATGATAGCTACCAATCTTCACCATGATCTCATGACTATATAATTCACGTCTATTTCTTTAAGTACTTCTGTACTTGGTGGCGTACACAAACCTATTCCACCGTTTCCTCCATGCACGCTAGCTACTATTATTCAACTCTTGGGAGAAAAATTCTTTGCACCCCAGGAGAGTCTTCATATTACAATTAATCATATGGTAAATATGTTATCAATTGTTACTTTATTGAGAAGATTATTTCATTAAAAACTATGTTTGATGAAACAATCATGATTATTTTGTTTTTGATTGCACAAAGATTTTTTTTTTCAAAATATTTCCTCATAAATAAAATCCTATTTACAAATAGAGAAGGCCTGTAACAAATTGAAATTATTGATGGTTATGCAGACAATTTGAAGCAAAGAAAACCTCACTCTTTTGGTTTCCTTTCTTCAAAATTTAACTATGATGTGTGAAAGCAAAACCAGCCGCTCGGATATTAGATGATTCACCATACATGCTTGATAGGAAATGAAGCTTCTTCAAAGGGTGGAAATTTTTTTCCCGCGAAAATTTACAGATTTTATGAACTACAAGCCTACAGCTGTATTCATTCTAACTGATATCTAAAACCTGAAGAAATCCCAAGATACAAAAGTTTCAATAGCACCAAAAAGCTATAGCTTATCTACATTTTCGTTATTTTTTTTACCTAGCCCTTCAAACTTTTAATCGAGGAGATCAGTAGCTTATCCCCAGCAATGGACCTCATGTATCTGATGAAGATTTCTTTGCTGATCTTTCCCACCTGAAAGCGCACAAAAAAGTTCCAAAAAACTCCATTTCTAAATAATAAATAAGAAAAAGTAACTGACAACATGCTATCCCAATAAAAAAAGGAAAAAAAAGAACAGTATTGAATTTACATTGTACTGGTTGTAAAAAATCTCCAAAGCATGCATTTTGGAGGCAGGCAATGACTTTCCAATCTCTGCAAACAGTTTCCAAAATGGAAGATTCATCACAGAAGACAACTTTTGCATACCCACTGGCCTTCTCCACCCTACAATGAGAGAGATGAAACATAAAAATCAAGCAGGAACCAAAATAACTCACAACAATCTACAAGATTCATTTGCATACCTTGAGAATGACCGGAAGACTTGAAGCTCACAATATATTCTGGAATAATGTGGGTGTTCATGCGACTATTCCACACTACAAACCACTTTGGATTCTCAATATTATCAACACCGCTATCAAACCTTTCATCACTAGGATGGTCCATCGTAGAGCCCGCTTCTACTTTCTCAGAATTCCCCATAATAACTCGGCAAAGAATCACATGTCTCTCACCATCTTCATCAGCTTCTGACATCAGAGCACTGGAACCAAGTTTTATTCTTTCAGATAAAACACTTCGCATCAGAATCCCGATCAAATAAGAGAAAATTTGAGCAATGTGATTACCTTCCGTAAGGAAAATGTGGCGGTGAGAGATGATTGCCGACACCATGGGCAGCAAGCCCCAGCTTGTTGCTGTTTGACTGCTTAAATCCATTAGTCATAATTGCAGCAATATCACCTGCAGATGTGCCATACCATCCAAACTTCACATTGGCATTGCCTCGAGATTCCATTGTCGCGCTCTTATGAACCTTGAAAGATAAAAGACGAGAATTTCCAGCGACGGTTGAATGAGAGCATCGGTTGATAGAGGTAATCAGAGTGTTGACAATGAATCTTTTGATGCCAGAAAGAAACAATTTTTCCACTACTTTGTAGAACTTGTCATCATCTCTCAGCATTTTCGCACCCGGCCATCTGTCGGAGGAGACCTCCATGTTCTCTTCATAGATATCAGCTTTCTTTGCCACGAGAGGATGATGGAGTTGTGGAGAAGACTTGAAGAGGAGGTTGCTATTATCATCCAGTGCAATTTTTGGAAAGAAATGGCGGCCATGAACATCGATCCAAGCAATCAAATGCTGCCTTCCTGTCTCTGAATCAATTCGGATCAAACGTAGGAAGTCAAAAAGATATGACTTTTGATCTACGGTTGCCTCAAATATCGTCTTGCCGGCTAAAAATCCTGCCTTCAATTCGTCGAACACCTGATGCGCAAAGTCTACCCAGGCATCTCCAGAGAAGATAAGGAACCTGGAAGGCATGCCGCTCTTCTTGAAGTTGTTGAAGGCTCGCACTAATTGATCAGGGGAGAAGACTGCATCCGAAAGATTAGAACTTTGAACAGCAAACATGTCGATCTGAGGATTTCTAACCCTGTTCGCGATCCCTGAAGAAGATCCGTCCGCTGAGACAACTCGGATTGTTTCCTCCACTGATGAGATCGAGAAAAGGATGTCCAGCAGAGGAGGAGGAGGAGGAGGAAGATGACGAAATGGATTGGGATTCTTTATAGTAGAGATTGAAAGATCCAACCTTTAGGAGATTTGAGAAGAGATGAGACAAATGTGGAAGGTTTGAAACTTCGAACTCTGCCGCGCCGCTCTTCGCTATATATAAATTCAACGGGGAGGTCGGCTGTTTACTTACAGAAATGGCCATAATGTTCATTAAAATTACGAGAATACCGTTCCGTGGTCTCTTGCACTCCAAGTATACGCAGCAGGCCATGTCAAATTTTGTATTGACATTCTCATTTCTCATTATATATATAATATACATAGTCTTACTTGCTATATTATAAATTCACATAATATTTAGGTTCAACTTGTCGTTTCAGCAAGTTTATTTATATATAATGTTTTTATCTAATTCATTATTATTATTATTATTATTATTATTATTATTATTATTATTATTATTATTATTATTATTATTATTATTATTATTATTATTATTATTATTATTATTATTATTAGTAATAGTAGTAGGAAGATTTATATACTAGCCACTCAATTCTTATGTATTTATATATATAACAACCAAGCTTTCATTTTTGCATGTAAGCTATCTTACCTTTATTGGAGAAGGTCTATTATTTCATTTATAAAAGCTAAAATAGTGATATATATATGTATGTATTTTGAGATATTAAAGTTATCGATGATATAAACAAAAAAAAGTAAAATGTAAATGTTATATATATGCAAATATATAAGAATTGCGTGGTATTATATAAATTCTCTTATTATTATTATACTAGCTAAAAGGCAGCATGTTAGATCTTTTGTTTTCGAGAAAAAAACCAAAATAGCTATATATTATATAATGTTGTACTCATAAATTATTTGAATTTGACGACAAACTCTAGGTTGTGTTTGGGGCAGGTGCGGTTGCGGCATGATGTCGTATTGTATTCTTAAATATTTGATAAAGTTTTGTTTTGCTTGCTTTTTCAAAAACTGTGATGGAAAATTGTATTTTGTAACCCGACATTACTAAGTGTGATGGCTACCAAAAAGTTGTAATCTGACATCTTCAAACTAAAATAACGATTTTTAAAAAAAGTTGCAGCCGCCCCAAACAGATCATTAGTGTTATCAACTTCAATGTTCAACAAAATCTACAACGAAATTGTGTGAAATGGATGATGATATAGTTGTAAAAAACTTTTTAATAAAATATCATATTACACATAATTTCAAGCTACAGTAGAATGCATGTCACATTTATGTATAGAAAATGTGTAACAGTCCAGAAATAAGAAAGTATCACAAAGAAGGGTTTGCAGATAGGAGACCAGAAGACACATTTATCCAATCGGAAATTGCCGACCGAGCCGGAAGAATGACCAAAGGATAACCGATGGATCTTAATCCAAACCATTGTAAATAATCGGGGAGTATTTTGACACTTTACTCAAATCATAAGAAAAAAAAATGTTGAATCTTATAACATATTGAAGGGCAAATATGTCATTTAATAGTCCAAGAACTAGTAACAAGATCGGGGCGGTTAAGAGGAAATGGTTATTAAAAGACTTAGGGATTAAGGTAAGGAGCGAAAGAGATAGCAATACCATTCTCCTTAGCTTATTTCCTAAGCGGATGGGAATAATAAATGTGAGGAGTTTGCTTTGGGAATAAGAAAATAAAAATAACTAAAAGAAGAAAAAAAATAAAAGAAGATAAAAAGATTCAAAGGGAGGAGTCAGATTGAGAGAGAGGCTGCTTGGTTTGTGCGGCTATAGGGGTATTGTTTGTGGAATTTTAAGGTCAGAATTCCACCAAGTTGACCTTTTTTACCTCTCTTTAACACTGCATTGTTTCATACTTTGGTCCCTTCGTATAACTTTCATAAAGCCTTCTCATCATGTCATGGATTCTATTCTTTCTTTATATATATATATATATATATATATTTGATATGTTGATTTTCTATACAGTTTTTGTTTATTGAATGTGAAAAAAAGGGATTCATTTCAAAGAATCTGAAGGCAATAAAAATACATATTATTGGGATTGATAAGAATAAGATGCTAACTAAGTAGTCCATGTCGTCTTCATTTTACGTCGTGAGATCAGAAGTAAGAGGCAAGGATGAGTTTTCCGATGGCTACACTAACATCCCCGTTCATCAAGTTGCACACATATGTTGTCTGATCGTACTGACACACATTACAATAAATAACTCAAGAAAATTAGAAATTTTTTTAAGATACAAAATAAATAATTACAACTTTTCATAATCAATTTTTTTGAGAATTTAGTCAAATAATGAGAGTTTTGATGCAAAGCATTGGTTGGAATAGTTTTGACAATATATATACATATATATATAATGTGAAAATATGGAGTACAAAGTAAATGAAGGATGTGAACATCCTCTATCTGCTATACTGCACATCATGAGGAGTAGTTCTCATGAGAAAGCCACCACTAGCCACTTAGGTCAACCCCAACCGATCAAGCTCTGCAACCATGATCAAGCTCTACAACCACGAGTCAAGCTCTGCAACCACGAGTGAATTCACATCATCGATCTTTCTTTCACATGTGTTCTTTCTTTACATCATCGATCAAGCTCTGCAACCACGAGTCAATATATCGATTGTATCATATCCCACCATATTGCTGATAATTTCAAATCAGGCTCCCAATATTAGAGCAATAATTCAATCAACCAAAATTATTTTAAGAAAAAAATTTGTGCTATATACAAGGGCACTTCTCTTATTGTAAAGTATATAGTCTTTCTTTATATATTTTATTATTTTTGTTTGTGCTCAACTAGTTATTAATTGGCATACTCATATTCTTCTCATTAACAGCTAATTAAGATGAATTTGAGCTTAAGTCTCCGATAAAGCAATTTATATAAACCACTCTCAGTAATTCCACCATAGTTAAATTTGTATATATAAATATATTTAATATTGAAAAGCTGAGCTTCTATCACGTTACATACATAATAGAAGCCATGCTTTCATTTGGATCATTTGCCAATGAACATGCAATCAAAATTAGCTTATTATACCTCTACAATAAGTTCATGTAAAAGAGTTCTTAATGTTGATTCAAATTTGTCCTCATGCTAGTGAATAAGTAAATGAGTAAGAGAATTAGGAAGGGGGAGACGAGGCTCGTGTTTCCTTGGGACATTCTATTGATAGATGTGGAGGTGCTTTGATATAATAATTGAAAATACATAAAGATACATGTTGTGGGAACTACTAACCGGAGGGAAGCCAACTTAGGTTACTCCAACAGGCTACTAGTTGTTATGAACCCAAGGCTAGCTGATTAATGATGTGTCGTATGGTATTATTTTAATTAGAAATAATTTGATCTTTTGAATTTATTTACTTGTATGCCCTAGTTTTCCTCTATAAAAGGAACTTGAGGGTTTATGAGAGTTGCATGCGGAGAAGTGTCGATTTGTAACCCCAAACCATTTTTCTTTCTCCCATCCGATGATACTGGAATATCTCTCCTCGTGGATGTAGGTGAATCAACTTAATGCTGAATCGCATAAATATTTGAATGTTGTTGTGTGAATTTCTACACTTCTGCATTGTTTTCACATAACAATTCACAAACTCATTTTGCAACTTCATAGACCTAACTTTTTAAATCTTCAATGTGCACTTCAATATTATGGGGACAATTTAAACATGTCTACTAAATTAGTTTAAGCATCTTGTCTGACTTCACACATGATTTATAATTGTATAAATAAATAATTATGTACTATGAATACACACTAATACTCAGTACAGTGATGTTGATATTATAATTATACCTAAAAATAATCACAAGCATACATAAAATATAAACTAAACCGTAAATTCATAGAAAAAGTACAATTTCAAAATAGCATATTTTTTTAAGAGAAATTATCATATAAATAATTATTTTCAGTTAAAAAAGTAAAAAAAAAAAAATCAAAATATTTTATCCTTAGTATGTTTTTTATTACAATATACATCAATGGTGAAACTGAGAACCATTTTGTGCTGGCGCCAGATCTACTGAATAAAAGACAAAACAAAATGAAATGGCATTCTTATCCTTTCTCCTTTTCTTTTTCTTTTATTTATTTTTCTTTTTTAAAGCAAAGCATTTTAATCTTATCATCATGTAAGAAGCAATTAACAATAAATTTTGACTGTGATTGCTGCCAAACAAATACCGGACGGCATTGATGAGGTAATCAGCTACAAATGGAGGACAAAACCATCAAAATCATAACTGTGTTATGAAATAGAACAATTATAAAAATAATTTAAAAATCATTGTGTTCAGAGGTACAATCATATCAAACAGACTCATTGCGTGAGCATAATCAGTGACATCACAAGCCTTGAGAGCTCAAAATTACATGCAGCAATAGCAGCAATTTCCCTCTTAACATAGCAGCCAGGATAAAGACAAAATGAAGAGAATATCGCAGCAGAAGCTAATGATAATTAGTGCGGAATTAATTGCCATGATTATTTTGTTAAAGAGAGAAGATTATCACATTAATTGAATATAAGAGCCTTTAAATAGACATATAGGATGATTAAAAAAAGAAATTCACAACAATGAGAATATTATATACACCTACCAAAGCTAATAATACTATCTTACTAATATAAAGCCAAAAGCCATGCATGATCGCATGTGCTTATTTGAGTTCTAGCTTTGTTACATAAAAAGGAAAATGATAGATCAGCCAGAAAATTATATTTGAGTTCTAGCATTGTTACAGGAGCATCAATTTTTTTTTAGGAAATCATTGCATATCCCATATGGAATGGTAATCAACTTCGATAAGTTTTAATTAGTGGATGAAAAGCAAGATTAATTGTACAGCACATGTAGCATAATTGCCATAGTAATGTCATAAGTTAACAAATAAAAATAAAAATAAAAATAAAAAGTAAACGTCAAAATGATATATCCCATAAATTCGTATGAATCCATTGGCAACCAACTGAGCATTGTACTGATCGATGAAACTGTCAAAGAGTAAAACTGGATTGCGAAAACTCACCAATTGGTTTGGCCCTAAAAAAGGACAACCAAATCCCACATATGC